CCCAGTGAGGATTTTACATTGACATGGGTGTAGATGCAATGCTTCCGACAATAATAACACTCTTAAATAAATTATTACAGCATCGCATGGCGCCTTTTATGTCGACCGTGTATCCACTTAGGAAGAGGCTACAATTAAGCGCTTGGTCGAGCGCTTGGACGACGATCGATCCTCTAAAGGAGAGTGTATACTTTACGATTTTGCAGAATACCACTCGGTAGCGACACCCTTTCTTGTTAGAATAATTTGAATCGATATCAGTCAAACTTGTCGGATTCGATTTAGGGAAAATACAGGCAGGAGCGCAGCCGTAGGCTGAGTAAAGGCAAGTAAAGTCTCCGAGCTAACAATTCCTATACATTTTACCTAAAATATTAAAGTCATCGCGTTTTCTGTGCGGCCTGATTCCCAAACTACGTATTATGTCCGTGGTGTTACAGTTAGACCTTTCGTTTTGAACAAAAAACTTTAAAAAAAAAACATTTCTGAGCAAGGAAGATTTTAGTCTTTCAAGATTTTATTTGACTAGCGCGGATGTCTCTGTGGTGTATGCCTGCCTTTTCTATATTACGCGTTCTTTCCTAAAAGTTGACTTGTCTTTATACATGCAACTACGTTTTCAAGTGACTGTTTCACTTCAAATATCACATCTTGGAATATAACCAATGTACCAGGATCTAAACAATAACAATGTATCTTATCTTATCTTATCTTACCTTATCTAAACTCGATGAAACAGATTCAGTTTCAAACTTGATGTCAAGTTCTTGGATGGTCTGCCATTCTTTACAAATAACAAGTACTTTGAAATATATATGTGTTAGTGAGGTATAAACAGCTCTAAGACTTTTGTTCTTGCTGTCCGGTCAGAAGCGAGAATGCTTAGCACCATGCACGCGGGATTGTTGGCCATCTATATTCTCACCCCTGGTGAGTATCCCGGTGAGAATAGCTCGTGACCTGTTATTCTCACCCCCACCCCGGTGTGGGCATGAGGCGAGGACCACCCCCCCCCCTGAACTCTCGCAGGCCGATAAAATCCCCAAGGCCCTAGGTGGCTTACAGTATAATTTTGGTTGGGAAATGACTCATGAGTGTTTGGCGCTTGTTTCCTCATGTAGGCCATCTACTGATTATTGTTGTCTTAGCCTTGATTTAAAAAAGAACGCACGAAAACAAAAACAAATAGCTTTCTTAAAAATTAAGCTATAATCGTGAGGACCGGTTGGTATCAGATGCGTTCTGCTCTTGACATTGCGTTCTTGAATAACCATAGATCTAGATCTAGATTTAATGTAGCTCGGTTTTTGTTTTTTCTTTTGTTGGTTTGTTTTTGTTGTTTTTTTTCACTGTTGCTTGCTGTTCATGGTGTGAAATGGCCTTCACCCAGCCCATTAAATAAACTAAACCTGAAACTTATCTTTACAATTTATAAGTCATTATCAGTGCTATTTTGTGTGTGTCTGTGCTATAGGCCTCTGTATGTTGCACACCTGAGGGAGGTGAGAATAGTGAGACACAGGCTATTCTCACTCCTGGTGAGAACGGCCACTTCCACGATTGTTGCTTTCTGTCAGGTCAGCGCTCAATCACAAAGTCCCTTTTGGACAGGACAACTGGCAGGGGACACGACCAACAATTTCTTCGATTTTCCATTGACACTGGATAACATCCCTTCAAGAAAGGAATGATAGAGTTTTGCGAGTGCACTGATCACTGCAAAAATTGAACTGCCGCCCCACAGTTAATTACCTCAGTTGATATGAGGGATGACCAGTGTTTATGCCAGATATAGATATGAAAACAAAAGCTTCCTGCATTGTTCTTCATTATGTTGATATTGATCTGGATGGCTGTCACTCAAAGACCCTTTATTGTGACGAAATGGGCTTGAATTAAAAATTCAAACGCGAAGATGCGCATCAGTACAGAGTTATGATCAGGCATACTAACGAAACCTATTTCGCAACAACCATAAGCGTAGTAGTAATACATTCATAGTATAATACTGTGATTAAAATTTCTGAGTGAGAATACTTTTCTGTCCATTTCGGTTAAAACGTCAAGATGCCAATGGTATATTTGTTTTTCTTTGAATTTGACAGTGAGGATCATTAAGGGACAGGAAATGTACTGTGGCAGCCAAAACAGAAGTGGTTTATTCAGACGCCAGCAGCGAGTGTGAACTGTACTTTGTTCATCTTTGCTATTGGAGGTCCGTGGGTCTAAAAAGTGGGGGTGCACAATTAAGCTAACGCCGGTTCAAGACAGTCAAAGGCATAGTAAATGGGATGGTGTATTATTTTAATATATTTGGGTTGATGAGGACCTAATGCTTTTACTTTCCTTCATTTTATTTGTCGCTTTGATTCCAAAAACTACATATATTTGTCAGCTAAAAATCAAAATGAAAGTCCTGAAATGCTATGTTTGGTCAACCCTTCAATATGGCTGTGAATGCTGGACGATCACTGAAGACAGTGAAAATAAAATAGAGGCAACAGAAATGTGATTTCTTAGGAGACTGCTAAGAGTATCGTGGAAGGATAAGAAATCAAATGAGGTAGTGCTTGATGAAGCCCACGTGGGACGTTCAATGTTAAAAACAATCAGGTGAACATCTAGCTCTCACTGGCAAAATTGAGGGCAAGCGAGACAGGGGTAGGCCCAGAACAACATACTTAGGGACACGGGCGAAGGCTAACTTGTTTGACAGGGTAATCAAAGTGAAATGGGACCAGATAGGGCCTGGAGATATCACACTCATACAAGTCACAAGAATTTTACTGGCACTGGAGGCGGCAACTCTGAGTTGTGAATGAAAACAAATCCTGAATTCATGTTGTATGCTTGTTCAACCGCTAAAATAATCGGGAAAGTATTTCATTAAATATTTATTCTAACTAACCTTAAATTTAACTTTAGATTTGAACACACGAACACCAAGGAAAGAAGCACATATGTCAGCACTACAATGGCATGTTATACCAGACAGCCGAAACACTTTGGTAGAGCACGCCAAATATTAATTTTTTATTTCACATTTGGCTGTTTTTTGTCTAGCTTTTCGCGGCCAGGAGCCGCTGTCATAATCGAGGTCACGATCTGATTATAGGACGTTAAAAAGTCGAGGGAAAAAACAAGCACTAGCAGTGTAGTAGCAGGAGTCAAAAGATTATTAGGAGTTAGTTCCCCTCACATCTGTGAGGTAGACTCGACCAGTGTAATAGTTCGCTTAGATAATCAGCGCGTCTGGGTGCTTATAACTGTGGCCCGAAAGGGTGAACAGGGTATATGCGACAATGAAACAGTTCTGACTGCTACGCACATGTTCCCTTCAAATCTATTGGTTGACTTTTCCAGCCTCACTTTAAGCTTTCTTAATCAAAGCTTGTGACTGCTTATGGAGTGGCCCGATAGGGGCGAACAGGCTATTTCTGTGGCAATGAAACGGTTTTGAAGGTTAGGCATAGTCTATTGTTCATTGGTGATTATGAACGTCTTTTTACATTTAATTTATGAGGATTACGTCTATGGGTGAATTTGACCGCGACAATGTTTCAAAATCAGGAAGGGAAGCAGTGATTATTTGATTATATAGACGCTTCGCCTCTGCTTAGGGAACCTAAACAAATGGGTAACGGGGAAAAGATCAGGGAAACGTAGCTTTTTTTTAGAGCATCCGAGCAAAGGAATGAATGGAAAACCATGATCGCCGATGTCTGTCGCAGATCTGGCACTGGATGATGATGAAAAATCAATTCTTTTCATCTTACATTGGAACTGAACACTCAAGTAATAACCCTTTCACATCTCCACCAAAACATCCGTCAAAGGCACAACTTAAGAGAGAGAGAGAGAGAGAGAGAGAGAGAGAGAGAGAGAGAGAGAGAGAGAGGGAGCGAGAGAGAGAGAGACCTAACTAACTCTACGTTCATCTCGCTCAAGTTCACGGTCACGAAGTCGGGGCAAGACCTTAATTTTTTTCTAATGGGCTAGTGACAAGACAATGCATCAATCACAATTCACTCGAGCACTCCGCTTGAGCTTGATTGATCCGGGGCTCACATTTTATGGGCATATATGTAGTACAGTCTGAGATTGCGTTTAATTTTAGACTACCTACTGTGGGCTTTGTTTCGACAAGAGCACATTTGAGTTGTGCCTTTTATCAATATTAATGTACCATCAAACTCGCTACGAGTGTCGTCATCACTTGGGTTAGCCCATCGAGCGATTTATAGGTCAGACTGCCACTGCTAAACAACATATTACATGTGTATAATATTATGACCGTGCTCTATGAGCGAACCGTCCCTGATCTTTGCTTCGTTCAATGTTGAGTGTCTGAGTGCACAGAAAAATAGACGCAAACAATAACATAATGATATTGATATATAAAAAGGAGTAATGAACAATGGATTGTTGACTGCTTTTTTCTGTTGGGGCTGTATTTCATCGCAATGTGTGACTCATGTAACCAACATCCTACAGTTAGAGTTCGAATCCGAGTGGGTTCAAATTTGTCCTACCGTTCGTGTAATAATAGTTGTTTTATAACAGAATTATGGATGAGTATCCAATGTCTTTAATGAAAAGCAACATCAGCTACCATACTTTTTGCTTAATCATGCCGCTTTGTATGAGCTCTATTATATACATCTTGCAAGATACCTAAATTTCTACTTAGCAGATGGGTTCCGATCAACAGCAGACGTAAGAGAGCTGGACACAGACTGTGTTTAGCAGTGTGAACAGAAGGTTGATGAGAAAAGACTACTGTAATCTACGTTATCTTAAAGTATCCGAGAAGAGAAATGAGTGGCGAACCATGATCCATGATGATAGTTTCAGACCTATGACTTGGAGAAAGGGTCTTGTCAGTAGGTTAAACTTCAGTTCTACATAAACAAAAGGAGAGGAATTGTTGTGCTAAAGGACAACGTTTCTTTTTTCAACTCTAAAGGGACAAAAAAGATCGAAATATGAAAGTCAATCGATTAAGCATCTCGTCTCACAAGCTTTATTATGAACTCCAAATGAAGAAAACATTTCGACTGCGATATTATATTCTTTTTGCCAACATCTTTGCTAAATTGTCTGTCAACTGCTGTGTATTCTCAGTGAAATCATATTTACGTTGTATATCCTCGCTCCTCGTACACCCCACCAGGATCGATAACTGTCAGAACCTGTAAAGGAAAAAAACCGATGTCACCATCTACCCAGTTCTGGAAAAATAACAGTACTAGAATTAGGACAGGCCTTGCCTGGACACTCGTAAGAAAGAGGGAAATAGACTAAGGGAAAAGTAGAGGCATAAAGGAATAACATAAAAAAACCCAGACACGTTTAAGGCACAAAGCATATTATTATGGTCTATAACAATTCCCCAGTGGATTACAATAGCGAAGACAGCATCACCGGTATAATATAAAGATTTTTAAACGTTATACTCAAAGGATTTGAGCTTGATTCCCCAGTAGTGGAAAATATTTTATGGAGTGTCTCCATCTTTCTGCTGGGATGTAGTATCCAACCTAGCCCAAGTTAGCCCTGGCCGGCAGGATTAAAGCAGACAGCCTCCTAAATGGTCCAAATTGTTGCAACGAGGAAGTAAAACGAAAAAAATCAATATGCTCCACGTAAAGGGATACGTATTTGTTTGTAGAATAACGTATTACATTACACACACACACACACACACACACACACACACACACACACACACACACACACACACACAAACACACACACACACACAAATACAGGAAAACACACAAACACACACACACATATATGTACATATATTATACATGTATATATATACATATTTATACATATAATATATACTATGTTATACATCAAATATGTCACCGGTGACAAACACACACACACACACACACACACACACACACACACACACACACACACACACACACACACACAAACACACACATATACATATATATGTATATATACTTATATATTATATTATATCAGATATGTGACCGATGACCCTGCTATCTCCAATTGATATGTTGGTGAATGAGGAGCACATCAGCAATATTTTTCTGGGTACAGGGCAACCAATTTTAGGTAAGTAAATCCTCAAAATGTTCGGCTCCTATCGATAGGTTCCCCCACTGTATTGGATAAGATTTCGTTCAGTACTCTAAGCTGGCCTATTCAGTGCACAACTTTGAAAGTTTTATCTACCTTACCGCAGTACTACGCTTCAAATCGAATTGAGTCCGCATTGGTCTACTCGTCTTTTTTTTCGGGATTATTTCGTCTCAGTTACGTGTTCTCACGCGGGAAACAAGTGCCCTGTCCTCCGAAGTGTGGTAGGACATCAACTTTTAGCAACAGCGATAACTCCAACAATAACAACAACAATATCAAGAACAAAAACAATAACAACATCAATAATATTACCACCAGCAGAAAAACAACAACAATGATAATAGCAACAACTACAACAACATGATCTATTGCAAAATCTATGCTTGTCGTTTTACCCTTTGATAAACTTATTATGTCATGAGACTGGGGTGGGTGGTTGGCTGGTGCTCTGGTGTTGTTTGCTTCTTCTTTCCTGTCAAACTTCTATCGTCCTTATCTCCCCTTCTTTTTTGTGTTTGTTACTCTCTAGTTACACCTCTAATCTTCTTGCGCTCATATTACCTTATGCAGTTGCGAGCGCCGTAAAACTTCTACAAAAACTAATGAGACTGGGAGCCCCGGAACCATGTAGCTATGATCTTGGGTGCCTACGTCTACAGGTTTATTCCACTTTTCACCAATTTAAGCTTTAGGGGCATTTGCAGGAAAGGAGAAGAGCGGGGCAAAGCAGAAAAAAATAATTGACCTTTTCATGAGACAATACAACTATATAAGACTGAAATACACATAAAAACATGTCAGTACGCCTGAGTGCCTACCTTTTCCCATCTCTGCCGAATTCATCTGCGGCTGCGTTGAGAGAAGATATACGCTAAAATGTCACACAATTTGCTGAGGAGAAGCTGACATAAAATGAATAGTAAAGTGAAATCATAATAATCTAATAGATCTTAAAACGTTTATTCTAATCTTCGTACTATTAACATGATGATCTTAAGAAAAAGAACAAACTATAGATCCAAATGCCAATGGGGTCAATGTGATTTCATTTTGGAATTTAAAAAAATTCTTAATACTTCAATTTTGATTAACCCAGATTAATAGATTCTGACGTCCCTGTGATCTCTACAGAAAAACATGTGAGCCAGAGGGGAAAATGTATGGATATTATTATACTAAGGCCCTGTTTATTTTCGATAATAGAAACAAAGGGGGAGGGTAGTAATGATGAACGTACATTTCGCTGGAACTATGATTGAGACAGAAAAAAAATCACCCAGGAGAATAAAAAGTGTCGGGAAACAGTTATCTAATACTGGGGCAAAAGAACGACAAGAAGAACATTAAAAGATTGTGTTAAAGTTCGATAAGAACAGCGGTTTCTGGTGAAAATGAATAGCCATTAGGTCTGAAAGAAATGAGTGCGGCAAACACAAAGTGAAGCTTTAGAATTAAAAGAAATCAAGCTAAAAATAATGATTCCATGCATTCCCCAAGATGAAACGCAGAAATGCAGATAACGCTGAGAAAACGAGAATCGAAAATTCAGAGCAGGATGGGTAACAAGCGTTAAAATCTGTCACCATGGCAGCATTTTGTAAGACGATGACATAGTTAATCATAATTAATTATGAATGGCAATCATCTACTTTAAAAAAGGAAACAAACGAAAAGTAACTAAGCTTTTGTACCATATCAAATGTGACTCAGTAATTTCTTTTAAAATGTCCCTTGAATTTTGTGTTCTCTGTAATATTGTAAGAGTTTAACGGGGCTTACAACATAAAAAGGTCTTACATAAGTGCCTAAGATTAGAAGTGCTACAAGAGAGTAACAAACACAACAAGGAGGAGAGATAAGGAAGATAGATGTTTAATAGGAAAGAAGGAGCAAACCACACCAGAGCACCCGCCAACCGCCCAGTTCTCTGATGTGACACAGTTTCATCCCGTTGTTGTGAGGATTGTGTAACGTGCGCTGTTCATCAAATTGTCCTTAGAGGTGGATAACTACAAATAAAAACATTTGGTGTACACAAAACTGCAAAAAGATATCATACTTTTTGGCTAATCGTACATAAGCTTACTCATTGATGGTGGGCAATCCTCCAGGAGAATCTGAGGAATTAGTAAAGGAGTCAACAAGTAGAATGTGATAATGTAACTCTTACGGACATGGCCATGGCTTGTGAAAAGAAAAATAACAACAACAATACAAGTGATCAACTGAAATAAAAGCATAACACTATTGTTTAGTTTCGAGGTTTACTGAAGCGAACCAGAAGAGCCTAAGAAAACTATTAACACAGTGATACAGAGAGAGAGAGAGAGAGAGAA